AGCGCGTGCGTCGGGCGACTGGCCGACCGACCGGAGACAGCGGGGCTCTGATTCGTCAGCGGCGATCGATGGCGGCCACCGGCTGGTGACGGACCCACCACCGGCACGCGCCCGTACCTGCCGTGGCAAGGGAGGGACCCATCACCGGCACGTGCCCGTGCCTGCCGTGGCAATTGAAGGACCCACTGCTTTTACGCACCCGTACCTGCTGTGACTCGATAGGGACCCATCGCCGGTACGCGTTCGTACCTGACGCGGCTGGGAGGGACTCATTGCCGCCACATGAATGCACCTGCCGGGGCGAGGGAGCTGGTGACGATGCCAGCGGCCGTGTCCACCGAGGTGAGAGAAAGACCCACTACCGGGCGCGCGGCTGCGCCTGCCGAGGTAAGGGAAGGACCCTCTGCCGGGCACGCGGCCGCGCTCGCCGAGGCTTGGGAGCTGGTGACGGTGCCAGCGGTGGCAGGACGACGCCCCACCGTTCCCGTGCCCGCACCAACCTGGAATGCCCGCTCGCGAACACCCCCAGCCGGCCGGCTGGCCGTCGACGGAAGGGGGAAGGGAAGGATCGGAAACGGACGGGCTGGGGAAGCGCCAACGTCCTCGCGAGCTTAGCGGCGCGTCGGGGGATGTTCGCAGCTAGCCATGCGGCTTGTGTCACGCAAGGCTCGTACGGCTTTCAGCTTAAGTCGAAGGGTTGGATGTGCCCTGGTACCAGAGCTGTTTGCGCGATGAAGGAAGGTGCGAGAGATGCCGGCAGTGTCCGAAAGATGTCTAACTGTACGTTTATTCACCGAATGAGTGGTAGGAGTCGTGGCTGGTTCAAACCAGCGCCGTTTCCAGATCAGGAAACGGCGAGGTCTGTGGCCGCGTAAGCCCAGGGTTCGCAGGGGAAAGCGCCCGCATACAAAGTCGCGTGGTCCGCGTATTTAAAGCGTTTGGCGAAAACAAATGTCATTGCAAATATCGCGTCTTATAATTAGCATGGCGGAGGGTCATTTGTGACCTGTTCAAGCTATTGCCAGCCACTGCGTCATAGCGAAAGCATTGCCCATTTTCTCCCCCCGGCGATGAAGCTATCAGGGACGCTCTTATGTGATGGCCTCTGACGGAAACGGGGCGGACTGAGTCCGCGCGAGTGCCAACGCTGCTCGGAGGATCAATGGCTTAACTATTACCTTTCGAAAGGGGGCTCCGCTCCACCGGCTCGTTCTTATCCGCCACTAATGGTTTGCGCCGCTGACTCATTGGGGCATTGACTCGTCGCTGACTCAGACGGGTCTGGGGCATTGTCACGCCACCGCTGAGTCAGTAGCAGAGCCCCGAGCTCCGTCCGGCTCTGTTTTAAGCTCAGCAATTTGAAATCATTGGCTGTTCTGGGATGGTGGAGATGTTTAATATATGTTAATTGCAAGAAAACACGAGTGACCTGTTAATTGTTAGCGGGCTACGTGGGATGTAATTTAATCAAATCATTGTTTACTGCGGAGATCTGTGCGGTCCGGGAAAGCTATCCAAACATAACCACAACGTTTACATCAACAAGCAACCATCCTGACATTCGAAGATGCGTTGAGTTGAATCTCGCGAGCAGTTCTCTGTAGCCGTTTTCCTGGAAGAATATTTTGCTCCATGAACCGAAGTCCAGAGCTGTGCGAATGCTACATACTACGTTGCGTCCCCGTCGCGTAAGCCGTGCCGTGCGCGAATTTCTACGCCATGCATTTTCCCATCAGCGCCTTCCATTGGCAATATCTGTCCCCGACCCTATAGCACCACACTACAGTACACAGCCCGCATAACCGCATCAGCTACATTATGCTTTGAGTGCCTTCGCTACGGACAGCCGCACGTGGATTGTCCATAGTGGACCCCGTGTGCGCGCGGCACAAGCGGCCCCACGCGGACTTCCCGCGGCGGGTGCGGGCGGCGGGCCGTCGCCCTCCGCTGTTGAGGCACCTCAGACTGAAAGACTGTGACCGTGGCGACCGACGCGGCCCGTCCCTGACGCCGCACGGCCGGCCCAGGCATTCCGCACCGCCGGCCACTGCGCCGCGGGCGGCCCCGGGAAGCACGCGACCTTGACCTGGTGCGTGGCAGCGGCGGCGGCGCTCCAGAGGCGCCTCGTCCCTCCGGGCCGACCTATCGCCGCGCGTGACGTTTCCTTCAGCGGCCCGGCGGGTGTTGAGCCAGCGGGCGGACGGGCGGCTCCCGGACCAGGTCTGGGCGGCGGACGGGTCCTCTGGCGATGAGACCGCACCGCTCGGCGCTCGCTGTGACGCCCCGGTGTAGGCACGGGTTGTTGGGCGTTCCGTGCGAGGTGCGTCTGTGCCGAGATTCCGTGACCTGAGCCGAGATGCCGTCTCGTGAGCCGGGACCCGTCCACACGCGCGCGTCAGACGATGCTGGGCAGGCCGACGCACGGTCACCACGCCCGGTCCTGCCCTACCGCACCGTCCATACCCCATTTTGATATAGTTTATCTGTATCACAGTGGTGCACTCAGTTCCCGCGCCGAGCCCATGTGTCGTCCCACGCCAAGTTTCTCTTGCAGCCGATGCCGTCTTCCTCTCACGCGACTGTCCTCTTCAAGCCGATGCCGTCAATCTCATCCCATGCTTCCGTCTTCTTCTGGCCCATCTCGTCGTCCTCGTTTTCACACTACGGCTCTCTTGCAGTCAGGCTCGTCCTAGTCTGACATCACGGTCCACTTCCAGTTGGGCTCGTCCTCGTCTCACACCACTGTCCGCTCGGGCTCGTCCTCGTCTCACACCACTGTCCGCTCGGGCTCGTCCTCGTCTCACACCACGGTCCCGCTCGGGCTCGTCCCTCGTCTCACACCACGGTCCACTTCTGTCGGGCTCGTCGTCGCCGCTGGCGCTGCTGTAGCGGCGGCGGCCGTACTCGGGTCGTGACCCCGTGATGGAGCGCACCTCCAGGTCGTCCGAGTCCGTGTCCGACGCCTGCCAGGAGGGCGGCCGCGGCTCCCGGCCGTATTGCCACCAGCGCCGGCCGCCACACGTCCTGCCGGGTCGGGCCGCGGTCAGGTCACGCGGGCTTCGCATGGTCAGAGGTCACTCAGGTCAGGAGCCAGACGTTAGGGGCTGCACAGGTCAGCGCTCATACGGGTCAGGCCGCGTGACAGGAGCGAAATCGGTGAGGAAGTCCAGAGATCAGACGGGGTTGCACAGTTTGACTAGAGACTATACAGGTCAGCAGTCACCGTCAGAGGCTGCAGATGCGGAGGTCACATTTCTCAGAAATTGTGCAGGCCCTAAGCCACAAGTGGCAAGGTCGTGCTGGTCCATGTAATGTAGGTCACAAATCACAGATTGTCAAAGCATGGGTCAAAGTTCGTTTTTCAAGATGTGGCTGTATAACAATGCAGCTTGTTCAGAATGCCGCTTTCTGTCATCTGGGGAATCTGGTACCCAAGGGGCATGCAATCCAGGGTTATCCGAAAACATTACTGGGCATATAATGAAGTGAAACATTCATGTAGCATGCATATTAAAAGCATTCGTTGCTTAGAAGTTGAAGCAGGATCGATTGGGCCGCGCTCTACGTCTCTTTGTGAGTGTGTCACGTAGCGAGTCGATGGCTCGACCTTGCGCACATTTCGAGACACTCCCGCGCCAGAACCTCCACAACGGTCAAAAGCGGGGGAGCGGGCTACGCGGAAGGCTTCTGATGCGTTTCCAAATCATGCCAAGCCCACGGTCGTAGCTGTTAAAATCTGCAAAGCTGACAGAAAGTTATTATTTTCCCCAAAGGTGAAGTCTATGTCATTCTACCTCCTGATAAACGAGCGGTATGTTCTGGCCAGGTATTTGTCGAACCTGCGCTTTCTAAGCGACGCGCCACCGGCCTTACAAAAGTGCAAAGAAACATGAGGCAAATAAGGACGTCAGTTTCAAGTCACTCACGTTCACGCAGTATCGGATACTTATTATCAATGACACCACACGACGACAACGACTCGCGTATATTCGCCACTTAAAGGCGTGAGCTCCGGAAAGCTGGACAGAAGGACGGTGCTCCACCTTTTTCAATCAGCATTATGCCCCGTTTGGTACATGGAAAGAAACAACGAAGTGTGGTTCACTCCCTGAACTGGTTCTCGCCCATTGCGGTGGACACATGTGTGGATGGACACACTTGCACTGCCAAATGGGACTGTGCGAGCAGGGTCACAATGGCCCTGCAGGCATGTCGGCACGTCTTCCTCGTTACTGCTCACACGGGCCGTGCCCTACTGGCGGTGAAATGTGGAAACTGGCGCTGCTGCGACCTTATGCAGCCAGTATTTGGCTCATCGGATGGCCTATTAGGTATCGACATGTCCGTTTACGAGCACCACAAACTACGGTCAGCGACCCCAGGTTATAAACCGAGGGCCTGGCTTTCTGTGTATTTGAAGGGCTCGAGTTTACCCTCACCCTCCCTTCCCCCATTGTTTCAGAACGTGTGTAATGGGCTTAAAATGTAGATCCGGTTCAGTCACTTTAAAAAAAGCTTTAAGTTGGAGCTATTCAGATATTTTAATGGTTGTTTTATCATTTGTTGTGAAGACCCTCAAGTGATGCCAACTACACGGAACCGGACCGGTTGCAAACGATATAACTACATACAAAATTAATCGCAAATGTAGGCGCTGTGATAACCCCAGGCTTACACCAAACCCCTCGTCCTGGATTAACAATAGGGCGACGTGGATATGGGTCAATATAAGGGGCGGGTAATTGTACAGAGTTGTAGGCGTTCAAAAGGAATGATCGAGAAGGTTGTAGACAGCACTCGTCAGCACAGACAGACAGACGTCTCTTGCTATATCTGACCTGCTTGCCGGCGCTGACGTCATGGTTCAGGACTCCCGGAATCCGCGTTTTGGAAGCGGCGTACCCGGATTCTCAGCACAAGCTCAAACACTAACGTGCGTGGCGCGTGGGCGCCGTGAGGTGCCGGTGGAAAAACACGGTCCCATTTATCCACAGCGCCATATGGCTGGCGGTCGAAGGTGGGCTGTTCCGACTGGAAAGGACGCCTTGGTCGGCAGCTTTCTAGCGTTATGCAAGCCTGATTCACGGCTCGCTGGGCACAGCACGATGGCGTGCTATTTCACTATCGGCAATGTCTGAATGTGGTAGCTACTTAGTGACGTCACTGGGTAACCAGAGACGTCCAAATAGTTGCAGTTGCAACGACCAGTGGCATCCAGAGAGGTATTGTAAGAAACGCCATTGCATTCGGTGTCGTTTACGCACTTTTTCTGGATAGCATAGGCTTCCGTGTCATTATTCCGTCTCATGCTTGTGCGCTACCATATCAGCACATGCGCAGAGCACAGTGCGCCACCCGCCCACCGGTGGGGAATGCTGCTGGTTCCGGCCTCGTTGCCTGCAACCGTCCCTGAAGTCGTCTCTAGCGGTGGCCAACGAGACGCCACCGGCTCCCCGAGGCGTAATATTTCCGGACCGGCAATCACCGCCGCGCTCGCTCACCTGTTCGGGCGGCGCCTGCGCCCTCCGCTGGCACGGAATGACCGTGCACGTTTCCAGGCGGCCGGCGCCGTACTCAGGGTACACCGTGCGCAGGATGACGTAGCTGGGCTGACGGCCAGCGTCCGGCAGGTACGGTCTTCCGTCCGGCTGGTACGAGTAGGAGCGGCCGGGCGGCGGCAGGCCGGCGCGCTCGTCCCGATGGTAGGAGAGCGGC